GTTGCTTGGGTTATTATTGTCATTCTTCTTGTGTTTTTTACTTTTCATTGCCATTACTATACTGTCTTTTCTGTTACTTATTACTACAGTTACTGGTGTTGTTACATTGCATCACTTTGCGGTTGTTACTATTACATTATCGTCATTAATATCATCATCATCATCATCATCATCATCATCATCATCATCATCATCATCATCATCATCATCATCATCATCATAATCATCATCATCATCATCATCATCATCATCATCATCATCATCATCATCATCATTACCATTATTTTCAACATTGCTCTTATTGCCATTACCACAAGCATCATTACTGTATCAAAAGTTTAATCAACATTTTTTTTTTTTTTTAACCACGAATCAGTCGCACAGCTTCCCCGCGATGACTGCCTCAGAACTCGAATAATACGTTGCGCAATAAAGTCAGTTTCCAAGGCTCAAAGTTCGCATAACTTTCGCCATTGAGATAATGAACCAAGTTGAAATAATTTCCAATAGTTGCTATATTACTGGGGCAACTTCGGTGACTGCTATTGCCATAGATTTTGATTAAGCTTTCACTGTGGGCGTCGTTGCAAGAGGGATCACAACGCGTAATAACTTTTAGGTGTTATATTACACCATTTATATTTATGCTGATGTATATCATGTGTGTGTGTGTGTGTGTGTGTGTGTGTGTACATATATGTATATACATTATATATATATATATATACATATATATATATATATATATATATATATATATATATATATATATACATATATATATATATATATATATATATATATATATATATATATATATATATATATATATATATTATATTCATATATATATATATATATATATATATATCTCCTCTCTCTCTCTCTCTCTATCCATCTATTTATCTATCTATCCATGTATCTGTCTATCTATCTCTATCTCTCTCCCTAAAACCTAAAAAAATGATATTGATAACTAATACGTTAAACTCGTCGAGCGAGCCAGAAGAAAGCATTATCAATTTTTTAACAGAATAGAAGGTC